ACTTCCGCTCTCACCTGTAAGTTGTCTCAGAATATGTTGTCTGCTAACAAACATTTCAGGAAAATTTGAACCAAGACTTTTAAAGTATTTGCTCATTATACATGATAAGATGATCAAACTTGTAGTTTGTAAACCAGCTTTAGACACTCCTCTGCATAATTTTGTTTTGGACTCTACCAGCCATGAGAAGAAAAGATCTAATTGTGACTGCAGTTGTTTCATACTTTGGGACTGGTTCAGCAAGCTGTGTGGCCCTCCATTCAGCTGTTTATTTAAAGTGAGCCAAAAGCCACTTCTCTGTAGATGATTTATTCTCTCTCTTGAGTTGACAGAACTAGGGTAGGACAGGAAAGGGTTGAGTTCTATGATTTAGCGTGAACCTTCTGTCTTTTGGTAAAAGGATTCAGATTACAAAAGATCATATAGAACAGGCCATCAAATCATTCTAGAAAGTACTCACAGGTCTCTTACCTTGTCGTTTTAATAATTTGCTTACAGGGCTTTTTTTAAAAAACAGCAACACTATGCAACTGACTCAGGAAGGAACAGCTGCAAAGTTCAAATCTGATTGTATGGCAGGCCAAAGCAAATCCCTGTAGCTCAACATGTCCAAACTTTAAGATTAAGACAGATTCAGATGTTAAAATTTGGATCTGTCTCAAGCTTTCATTTGTTTTCGGTTGGGTAAAAAAAAAGGAAGAGGCATGGTTTTCTGTCTGAATTTCATTTACCTGCTTTGCATTTTGGAATGTTCTACATAAAATCTGCTTTTAAGAACAGATGATATTTTCTGGTTAAAAGATGAGTAAAGGTGAAGGAGCTGGCTTTCCTTGGCTAGCAGACATTGGACTTAGCTTTGCTCTACCTGAGCATTGCAGAGGCCTGATATCTACCCCTAAAAACTGCAGCTTTTTGAGATGACAGCAATTTGAGTTATATTTTTTGGTAGTTCGTTTTATATAAAATGGTAATGTGTAGCCTTTACCCTTCTGAACAGTCCTATAGATCTCAGTGGTGAGAGATTAATTAATACCTGCAATGGTCTTAAACTAGATTTGTATCTTCCATAACACTAAGCAGCCCAAACAAAGGGTCCTTTTTCAAACCAAATGAAACAAGCTTTCTTTATGATTTAAGACTAGGGCTTGTAGTACAAGAAGTTGTTTTTCCAGATGTGGACACATGTCTTTTATCCAAATAACTTCTCTCAGTAATCATAATAGGTATTAAAGTATGAATGACACAGTAACGGAAATAATGCAGAGAAATGGCTTAAATGGCAAAATGATCACACTAGAAGAAAAATATGCTTCTTAATCAAGCATTTTAAATGTGTCAACACAAAAAGTGTATAAACACCTAACTTACATAATGTTTTTGGATTTTCAAAAAAGTTTGAGTCATTTTGGTACTAAGATAAAGAAATGTCCTGGTAGAAGAAGTATAAAATTCTGCCACATACTAGAAATTGGCTGAATGAGAATGAAACAAAGGGTATGAACAGATTAACAACATACAGCAAGTTAAGTATGTGAGCAGACATGCAAAACAGTTACTGTGGAGCAGTTGAGGTGTGGTAAGTCCTCTCTCCTGCCCTTACTTTTTACTTGATATAATCATGTTCATCTGTCCATCCCTTAAAAGTAAGAATAATTTGCTTTGTTTGTGGCAGAAAGACAATTAGAGAGGGGGCTCTAGGTTCTGGATACTGTTGTTCTGGGGAAAAAGAATGGAGAGCGAACTGGAAGAACCTACAGGTAATACAAAATTATTTAGGTTAGTTGTGACTGGAAAAGCGTGTGAGGAATAACTTAGCTGGAGAAGAAGCAATTCATTTGTAAGTGCAAGATAGCTTGTATTAGAAGGAAAAGCTTTAAATAGTAATTCTACATTGTAAAGTTCTACACTAACTGCTGTAATTGCTGAGGAAAGAGACCTGGGTGTCATTGTGGATGAATCAATGAAAAGTGTTGCTGAATGTACATGAAGGAAAATTAAAACATAGGGCTATTTGATGTCCTATCTTAAGATGCAAATGAGAAGAGACAGATTAATTAATGCTATACTATTTCTGTATACCATTAGTATTTCTGTATACCTTTTTCTAATGTGAGTATTAGAAGGACATTCAATGAAAATGAAAGACATCACATTTGGAACTCATAAAAAGGAAATATATTTTGTACAGTGTGTATTTAGCCTTTGAACGTACCAGATATCATGAAGGCTGAAGTGGTCAGTAGGATTCCAAAAAAATCCACTCTTTCATTAAGTGGGACCATTTTAATGAAGGATATAAACCATCATGCTTTAAGGCACAAGCCAACTACATATTATGTGAGTTAGGAAGAAACATTCAATGACTAAAGTTATTCCATTATGATTCCAGTAAAATTTTTCTTGCATTTTCCTCTGAAATATCCGGAAGCAGCCACTGTTAGAAACATGACTGTGAATAATTTAGTCCCTGGTCTGATCTGATGCGGCAGTTTCTTAAGTTTCTGTTATCCTCTTTTTTGGTTATTTGAATGTTTAGCATTTTTTCTTTTCTAGGAAAGCAGTGTTCCCATTTTGGGGGTATATCCCTTGTACAAGAATGAATGTAAAAATACCCATTTACAATAATGTGTGTATTAAAAATGCATATAGTTAAGACGTATGCCCGTTCTTTGGGAAAGATTTGGAATTACCACATAGGAAGTTTTGCTAATTTACTTCAGAAAAGCAGAAAACTAGGAAGCAAAAAATTTATCAGTACTGACTTTCCTTCCAATTTCTGCAAAGGCTGTTATCTCTGTGCAGTATGTAATGAATCATGCATTTTAATGGTTTTTCCTTCCAACGTTCATATGAAATATCCACCCGATGAAGTAAATATGAACTTTGTTCTCTTCTCTCAGTTTCTGTAAACAGTCATGCATAGGTTCAGCTAATGGCTAAATTGTTCTTTCTCCCATTGTGTTTTCCTTGATTCCAGACTGAAATTTTGTATCTGTATATAATAATTGTTGTAAAAGTATTTATACTTACATATGGATTTTATATTTTTTTAATTGTATGTGACTGCTTACTTTCCTAACGGAGAGATTTTCTATTAGACTGTTCCTTGTAGCTGACGAGAAGAATGCATTGTTATGGATTTTCACAGCCTTCCAGTTACAATTTAAAGTGGAAATAATGAGAGAGTTCAGTTTTGGCAAACTAATGCATCATCTCTCAATGTATGTTATTACAAAGGGTGTATTCAAGTTATAAGTACATCAGCCTACTTGAAATCTCCCCACTCTTTTAGAGAACCGAACAATTTTTAATTACACTTTTAACTTAACTGAAAGATATTTCTCTTTATTACTAGCTTTTTTTAAAGAAAATGTCCCAAATTACCTTTTAATGCATTATCCAATAAAGCAAATTAAATACATTGCCTAATTGCCAAACACATTCAGAGCAGATTAAACTCTTTTATGTTGTTTGCTGAGGTGTTTATCTGTAGTTCACTACCAGTGGCAGTGGAGAAAATATGGGTGGAAAAAATACAAAGTTTATTGTTAGCCATGTTAAGTGTAAAAGTGAAAACATCCAGGAAGAGATATTACAGAAACAGTAATGTAGGACTGAATAAGGCTGGTTTGAATTGTCAGTATGACGGTGGCAGTTTGAAACTACATACCTGATAAGCTCACCCATGAAGTCTGCAGGTGAAAAGGAGGACACTATGGTCAGACCTTCTGGGATACTCTCTGGTAATGTGAAAAAAGAGAGCAAAATTCATGGGGTAAATTCCTGAACGCTTTGAAGGTAGAGTGGGAGTTTTCCTATTGTGATCACAGTAGACAGTATTTACTCCTCTAACATGGGATAGAAAAATGGTAGTGGCTTCTTTGTGGCATGCTCTAAAATTCACACACCAACAGCAGTAGTAACAATTGGTGGTCTTTCTTTTATTGAGTGCCAATTAAAAATCATTTTGGTTCTAGATTCTTTAGTCATCAAGTTCAGTTGATCACTAGTATCTTTTAAAGTAAATTTTAAAATCCAGTGTTGTCATTATGGTTAACTTCAACAGACTTGCCCTTATCTCTTCTCCCCACCCCCTTCCCACTCCCTGCGCCAAGTGATATATTTCAGACCATGTAAAATGACATGTTCTGGTTCCATTTTGAATTTTAAGGAAACAGTGGAAATAAACTAGGAATACAGCAAGGTATTGTCTCTTTCTGGTTTCTGTTCGTATGAAGACCAGTACAATGCCAGAAGTTGCACCAGCCACTCTGGGGGAGCCAGTCAGGAATACTTGCAGCATAACTCAAGATGGGAGGCAGATAGAAGGAGCCGAGAGGGTGCTGAGAAAAGGCACAGCCCACTGAAGCTGCAGCAGAAGCTGTTAGCTGTTTGGCTCTGACCAGAGCTCTTGAACCTGCAGCATTTCTGCAGCCACATATTAAGGTTACCAGTATTAGCATTAACTATTAGTATTAACTAATGATGAGATGCAAAGTACCTCCACAGTGGTAGATATTGTAACTTCTCTTGTGCTGGTCATTTTAAAATCAAACAGAGGTTTGATTAAACTCCCAGCACCAAAGACAAGGCAGCAACCTAGGGATGCAGCTAAGAAAAACTGTTTCTATTTGTATGAACATTTTGGTGGATAACTGCCAAGAGCAGTTGTCTGAATGGGAGGAGGGCAGTGTGGAGTTGGAGTGGGTGTTGCTGCTTTCTGTGGCTGGGACCTTGCTTGCAATGCCTTTGACAAACAACTGCAAGTAGGCTAGGATGGAACAGATGCTGTGAGTCCAGCAGTGCAGCAGGAGATTAATTACTCTATTGAGGCGAAGCTTGGGCCGTTTCCAGCAGGCTGGATTTGACAGGCCCCTGTTAGAATTGTCACATGTTGATTTGGATCTTTGCAAACTGTTGGCGTGTTCTTGGGAGCTGTGGGGGTAGAACAGGGACTTTTTTCTCACTGCTAATATATTCTCCTCCTTTCTCTCATCTAGGTGTGTGATGTCAAGGAGTGGGCAGTCCTTGTGCCCTCCCCCACACTATTGTAACGTCATGTGCCAGTATGAATATTAACACAGAAACACGTACTTCAGTACTCAGTATCCAGAGAAGAAGAAAGGAGAAGCTAGACGTTGGGAACAAATGAGTGGATTGCTTGCAAAACTTTGGGCAGCTAACTTCTTCAGAAATCCTCCATTCCACCTATTGTGAAACAGTTAAAAGAGCAGAACAGAAACAGCATTTTGGGGTCTCTTTTTTTAAAAATTTATTTAATTTTTTTCTCTTGGTGTTGGATCTCCGACTCTCATCCTCACTGAACACAAGCACTGAACATCAATATGTGTCATGTCATTGTAACATGTCGCTCAATGCTGTGGACACTCCTGAGCATTGTTGTGGCTTTTGCAGAGCTCATAGCTTTCATGAGTGCAGATTGGCTGATTGGCAAAGCCAAGCCTGTGAATTCTGAGGATGCGGACAACAGGACTGGAGGGTCACAGGAGCCTTACCATCCAACTTTGGGGATCTATGGGCGTTGCACCAGAATCTCCCATGTGCAGGTTTCCAGACGAGACACGCTTTGTGGCCCCTATGCAGAGAACTTCAATGAGATTGCCAGTGGATTTTGGCAGGCTACTGCTATTTTCCTAGCTGTGGGAATCATGATTCTCTGTGCTGTGGCATTTGTGTCTGTCTTCACTATGTGTGTGCAGAGTGTAATGAAGAAAAGCATTTTTAATGTCTGTGGGCTGCTACAAGGGATTGCAGGTAGGTGTGATGTGGCAGCAGCTAAAATGTTTTGGTGCTGTTCTGCTGAAAGAATCTAGGAGGAAATATACAGGTCTGTGTACCGACAAGTCATGTTAATTAGACACTCAGATGAATTCCTAAAAGTAGACCTATAGGATCTAAGTTCTGTTTGAATAGCTACCCAGCAGGAATACATTGACCTGGCAGCAGGATTGCAGTTTGCTGTGCGCCAAAGTGAACTTGCCAAAGTTCCTTTTATAGCTGTTCAAGTCTTTCCACTGTTTGAAAAGTTTGTTTCAGTAACTCGAACTTCTCTCCTTTGTTCACAGTACAGAAGCAAAGCTAATGCTAACATGAACACAGTCTCCCTCCCTCTCTCTGCTTTAATGATTTTTCCATTAGGCAGGAGGCAGTTCGCTGTGTCTGTGTCTGGCGCTTCAGGATTGTGGTGAGAGTAAAGACAGGCCATAAGGCTAGATTCTGTCTACATGCCCAGCTCTCATTTATGCAGGGAGAGTTCTCTGGACTCTTTCAAGACCACTGTTTGACCCAGGGTACTTCATGGAAATAATGCAATCCCTCACTCAGTTGCATTTGAAATCTTCAGGTGTTACCTGTTCAGTGTCCAAGTGACAGAACCATTTCTGATTAACAAAAGAATTGGCTTCAAGCAATTTATTTGTTTCCTTTAAGTCTGATAAGGTGTTTGGTTTAATTTGCATATTTTGTGGGGCTTAACAATGCATCCTGTTACAGTGAGATGCAAAAATGTGTGCTGAGTTCTTCACTTCCCAAAGGAAGGTGAGATAGTTTTTACTTAACAAGCAGTATAGAAAACCACAGGCATGTTACATTGTTTGTATGATGCACTTCTGGATATGATCTTCTCAGAAGGGGCTGTGGACTTCAGATAAAATATTTGCACTGATCTTATGGGGAATCTCTTCTTCTGCGGCTATCCCTTGATATAAAGATGATGTCTTCTGGAGGAGGAAGGAAAGGGGGAATTATTGGTGAGTTTTAAGATGGCTGAAGAGTCCAATCCGTGCTCTGCAAGTTTTTCCACAGATATGACAGGCGGTGCCTTGGGTGGGGAGGGGTGGAGGATGGTAAGGGGGAAGGGCACAGCTGTTGACCAGGATGTTGTGCAAGATGAGTTTCTACAAAGCGGGCTGTAGCTTGATGTATGGTGCAGTGCCATTAAGACTTGTTACCATCCAACACTTCCTAGTTTGTAAGGTTGAAGCCACCCTTCATAAGGTATGCTTTCAGGGTGTCCTTGTAGCACTTTCTCTGTCCTCCATGGGTCCTCTTACCATGACTGAGTTGAGAGAAGAGGACTTGCTTCAGGAGATGGGTGTCAGCCATCCACACACAGTGGCCAGCCCAGCAGAGTTGATGTTTCATGATCTTTGCCTCAAGGCTGGTTATGTTAGGTGCAGAAAGGATGCTGGCATTGGTGCAGCGATCTTCCCATCTAATGCAGAGGATCTTCCTGAGGCAACAGTGTTGGAACCATTCCAGGTGCTTAAGGTGGCTTTGATATGTCACCCATGTCTCATACCCATAGTGGAGCATGGAGATAACCACTGCATTGTAGACCAGGATTTTAGTTTCCACCTGCAGATCTTGATCAGTAAAGACACAGCAAAGCAGCTTTCTAAAGGATATGCTGGCACAGTAAATCCTATGTTCGATTACTACATCAAGGCTGACTGACTAGGAAAGGTGGCTGCCGAGGTATGGGAAATGCTCAGTGTCTTCTAGGGATTCTCCACTGATGGTGATTTGTGAGGAGAGGGGAGCAGCTTCTGCTGTGGCAGGCTGGTGGAGCATTTTGGTCTTTCCAATATTAAGGGAGATTCCAGGCTATGATAAGCATCTGAAAAAAGGTCAAAGGTGGACTCCAGATCGGTCTCTGTGCATGACAATAACACAGTTGTCAGCATACTGAAGGTTGGTGATGCCAGTCTTCGTAAGTTTTGTTTTGCTGTGAAGGCGCCGCAGGTTGTAAAGCTGACCATCCATTCAATACTCAACCCCAGTTCTGGGAGGAAGGCAGTCATGGATGAGAATCAAAATCACAGCAAGATAGATGGAGAAAAGGGTTGAGGCAATAACACAGCCCTGCTTGACACCAGTACAGATGGTACGTGGATCTGTCCCTGATCCATTTCAAAGGACTGTGGCAGTCATCCCACCATGGAGTAGCCTGAGGATGCTGATGAACTTCAGTGGACAACCAAACCTAGCCAGCGCCTTCCATAAGGCTTCACAATTGATGGAGTCAAAGGCCTTGGTTAGGTTAATATATGCCATAAACAGCTCCTCGTATCACTCTCTACACTTCTCCAGGATGTGTAGTGGCTTCTTCTCTTTCACCTATAAGCTATGCTCTTGACTAGATATTTTCAAACCGTAGAAAGACTTTTGTCCAGAGATGGCTGAAGCTTTGAACTGAATCTCATTTTAAGCAAACCATTTTGCCTCACCCTACTAAATACTCATGTTGCTAACAGTGCATGCACTACACAACTGACTACACCATGAGGAGAGGTACCAGATTGCAAGTTTAAACTCTTGTAACTTTATTATGCTTTGTGCTCAGTTAAGGGCTAAAGAGACGTGTTGGTTCAGGGTGGTTGTGCAAGGTCACCTGGTAATATGGAAAAGTCTTTGCTTAGCTGCACTCCTGGAACCCCAGGTCTCTGAAGTTAGCACTCACTGGAACTCTAGCCTCCCCACAAAGGGGTGAGAACAGCACCAGGCCATGGGTCCACTCCTCACCCTGGCCAAGAGAGGTGCTGTGTGACTATGGTTCCCCTCCACCAAAGCCCTGAAGCCCAGAATAAAGGTGTTGTGCTTGTGCTCCACCCACAATACAGGGCCATACTTTCAGGCCCAATCTTGGCTTAAGATGCATTTATCTAGATGATAACTACAAACCAGCAAAGGGCTTTATTTTAATTTTTTAAAATGTGTAGTTTTGGTCTAGTCATTCTGTTTTGGGAATCCAGCCCCAGAAATGGGGCTGATATGCAGAACTGGATTACAAACTATATCTAGTAGTAGGTTTTGGCTCTTCACTTTCTTTGTTTTCTAGGGCACATGAAGTTTTGAAGGGGTGACATTCCTTTTTTATTAAAGGCATATTTGTAAGATATACATATTTGTCTTTTTGTATAAGGCGAGGGTGTTTGGACCTATCACTTAAGCATCCCTTGAAGAGCTAACCGAGTTTACACCCCTGATATCCTCCCAAAATATTTAAGAGGATCCCAATTTCAAAAGGTGCAGAAGGTGCATTCTTGTATCTTAGAGGACTGCTCTGGAGACCAGACATTCTCCTTGCTGAAAAGGGGGTATGTGCAAAGGCAGTTGTTCGGTTGTAAAATATGCCAGTTTGGACAGTGGGAAGAATTGTTATCTCAGGAATTAGACAATAGGGGGGCTAAAGCATTTCTTGTGTGTTAGGTGTGCTTTTTCAGTAGCACTGTGAATTGAAATACTTTTTCCTTCCAATGAAGATAAATCCACACCACATAACCTGGATAACTGAAAGGTCATATTACTGAAACTGTTGCTATGAGAAATGCCTTTGCCAGTATTTGCAGCCTGCTGTCTTGTGGCTAGTGTCTTGTTCTCTCAAGATTAATTTTTATTGAATTCATTACTACTTTGTGACAAAAGCATGACTGCATCTGGTTAGCTGAAACTATTTTGCTGCTGACTTATCCTAGTTGTGGAGTTCAGGGTTTCTTGGATCCTGATTTTTGGAAAGCATCTGAGCAAATGGTTCAAGAACTGCTGTCAGCATGGCTGACCTTTGACAGGACTGTAACAATGCTTTCGTTTCTAAGCTATGTAATGGACATGTCATTTGTTTTTCTTCCCTCCCAACCCCAGATCCATCAGGGATAAATCAAGCCCCCCTGCTGTGCTGCTGCTCAAGCACACCAGAAACTGACACTTAGGCCAAGTGGTTATTATGGGAACAGCTCTGAGCAGCTTGGAGTATACCTGACCCAGCTCAGGTTCTCTGCCTTGGAAAGTCAGAGCCACACTAGGAAGACACCTGGGGCCAGGAGGGGAGCCATGCAGGGAGCTAGGGTTTGTGACATTTCTTTGAAATGTGATTTTATCATAGCAAAAGGCTCCTCTAAGTACAGTAGTTGTTTTTCAGTACATTTGCTGCGTACTTGCAATTATGTAATAAGGGATGGTCTTCAGGCTGCAACCACAGCAAAAGCATTTACAGGCACTCAGAATCTTGCAGACTTAATCACATTTATATATTCCTACAAGGTTTTAATGCAATTAAAAACATACAGCAAGTTAATCTACCCCTGAATTTCATCATGAAAAAACAATAATGGATACCGGACATATCGTTTCTTTCTAGCATCCTACATTGTGATGTGGGTGGTGTCTGAGGTGAAATAGTAAAATATAGAATTGAATCCTTAAGTCCAGCTCCTGCCCTTGCACAAATATGTGGAGCTCCCTTTAGGTCAATGGCAACCGTATGCATATCAGGTCCACAGAGAGCTTTTGTTTGTTATAGGCAGTTTAATATAAAGATTAATAGAAGAAATCTGCCTCTTGTTTGAAGAGCTTTTCCAGATCTTGGAATTCCTTTGTAGGAAACTAAGCTTTTCACCATTTGCTTCTATGGCTGAAATTGCTGTTGTTCTGGAGGCACAAAAAATAGTAACTGGCATTCTTAATTTTGTCAACATGGAAAGCTTGTGCCATCAAGAAAAGAATCTGTCCCCTGCAACAAAGAGTCCAAAGAGTGGAACTGTATCATTAGAGAAATAATTATCACTTAGCAGTAAAAAGTCTGGACAAGCCTCCATCTGAACACCTTTTTGGAGCATGCAGTCTATTTTTAAGAAGGCTATGAATCATTCAAAATTCTAAGGATAAATGATAAGCTGTTTTAAAATACATTTGGAATAATAGAAAATAATTCGTTCAGTATAGATTGTCACAGTAACCATCTAGTGACAGGCAGT